GGTAATTATAGACATTTCAAAATCAGAACAATATGTACTATACTATTTTGTTTGTTACTATTCTATTTTAATAATATTTCATATTATATACTATTTGCATATTTGATATTTGAATTAGGGTTTATAGTTTCTTTTAGGGTTTAGTGATTAGTGTTCCGAGTTTAATTTATGGAAGGTTTGGTTTGACGTTAAGGTAAACATTATTTCATTCCCTCCAATCGTAGATATTATAAAATCAAAACAATATGCAATATACTATTTCGTTTGTTACTATTCTATTTTAATAATACTTCATATTATATAATATTTGTATATTTTGATATTTGTGTTAGGGTTTATAGTTCCTTTTAGGGTTTATTGATTTGTGTTTTAGGTTTAGTTTATGGAAGATTTGGATTGACGTTAGGGTAAGCATTATTTCCTTCCCAACAATCATAGACATTTTAAAATCATAACAATATGTACTATACTATATTATTTGTTACTATTCTATTTAAATACTTCATATTATATACTATTTTCATATTTAGATATTTAGGTTAAGGTATATTTTTTTAGAGGTTTAGTGAGTGTTTTTGGTTTAGTTATGAAAGGTTTGTGTTGACTTGAGGTAATCATTATTAATTTCCCTTCAATTATAGATATTTCAAAAGTTGAACGATATATAGTGTACTATTTTATTTGTTACCATTATGCATATTCTATTTTATTTAATTTTTGTCACAGCTGTTGCTATCGTTCTTTACACACTTCAATATTAGGGTGAATTGGCGAGATAGCCATATTTTGATGTTAAATTAAGACAATAGCAATGATTTGGACATAATATAGTGTCAGGCTTTTTGTTAACTTTTTATCCGGTTATGCCCTTTCCATTCACCGGTTTCCAGTTCCATAATATAAAATAGAGGACGTGGAGGTGTTGTGTCGTATAATAATAATCACACAATTTATGGAGCATGTGATACAGCTGTATTTAACACAGATGATTTAAGTGGATGAATCAAGAGGAGGGGATAAATGTGTAAGTAAACCAGAAACTATGTTCAACTAACGGCGAGTTGAAAATAATAAAATGTATATCCTATATTGATTGTACGAGTTTCCATACTATGTACACTAGATAGAATAGTATAACTATAAATATAGTTCCAAATGGAAGAGCATTTGCATAGTTTGGGTACAATATAAAAGTTCATGAATGCAACGAAAACATGTAATGCTTTACACAAAGACAAGCCAAATATTATAAAAAATAAACTTATAAATTTAATCAGTAGATCATACTTGGAATTATAATGATTGTACTAGTTTCCATACTATGTATACTAGATAGAATAGTATAACTATAAATCTAGTTCCAAATGGATGAACATCTACATAGCTTAGATACAATATAGAAGTGCATGACTGCAAGAAAAGCACGTAATGTTTTACCCAAAGACAAGCCAAATATTATAGAAATAAACTTATAAGATAAAATCTATTTCATATAATACAGACTATGTTATTTGCTACTATGCTAGGTTGGATAGATTAAATAATGTTAATGTTAATTACCTCATAAATATATATGTGTTATAGGGTAAGCAAACATTTTAAAAGTATAGTACATAAAGGGTTTAAGTTCTATTCTATTTAATACATACTATGTTATTTGCTACTATTTTCATATAACATCTAGAATTGAATTACTTAAAATTTAAATATAATGGGGGATTGGTAAGAAAACACTTGATACAAAACACTAAACCCAAGTTAGGGAAATATAAACCCTCATCCATTACAACCCAAATATTTTAGCAATTAAACCCACCTTTCGCAATATCCTTCTATTTCGATAAATTAAATGATGCCAATGAACTTACTCATAATATATGTGCGTTATAGGGTGAGCAAAACATTATATTATAAGACAAATTCTATTCCATATCAAACATATTATTTTATTTGATATTAAATTTTAATTCCAAGATGGACGGACTTACATAAAATAGAAAACTAAATGGGGAATTGATAAGAGAATACTTGACACTAAAACTAAACCCAAGTTAGTGAAATATTAACCCCAATCCATTGTCAGCCCAAATATTTGGGATGTTAAACACACCTTCCATAATAATGGAGACATATATTTACATTCCTCAGGAACATGTAATTTGCAAGGGAAAGTGTTGGCACAAGTTCACGTACTAAAGATGATACTACAAAAAATATTATATTCTATATCATAAATTGTATAAGACAAAAAAAGCAGCGAGTACAGATCGAGGGAGATGAGCTCGATGATTTGGCTTTTCTGGTTCCCTTTCCTCACCTCTACCCTTTGACTGCTGGTGCTCATTTGGTTTGTTCCCGCAATCGAGGCCCATTACAAGAGAAAAGTCTTGTATAGCATAACAAATTGGTTTCCCTACCAAGAGCCACCAGGGCTCAAATTCTTTCTCAGTAACCAACTGCTGTGATAGAATAAAATGAAGAAATAAAACTGGGAAAGTATGGTTCTCCATCTGCATGACTTTCCCAAACTGTGACGCATTCAACATCGCCAGGTTCTCTTCATCTAGTGCGTTCTTTATCACCTCATTACAACAGAGGATGAAATAGTTGTTGACCCTATTCTTGCCAGTGGGTTCAAACCCTGTGTCAAACAATCTACTTGAAATGCCTAAGTCGTCCATGTCAGACCTGAAAACCAAAAATACGAGTAAAAAATAATGAGTACGGAGGGAGCTATCATATGTATATAGAAATTATTTTTTTATTTAAAACACAACATAAATATATAGATAACAAATATAAATGTTTAACAATCAAATCTACAATTCCATTCCACTTCATACGGATAGACATCATGAATATATAGATAACGAATAGAAAGGTTTGACACACAAATCTACAGTTACATGTAAAATAGATATTATGCAATTAAATTTCATTCCACTTCATACAGAATAGACAACATAAATATATAGATAATGAATATAAATGTTTAACACTCAAATCTACAATTCCATGTGGAGTAGATAGCATGTAATTAAATCCATTCCACTTCATACAGAACATGTTACCAAATTTACTTCTATTCCACTTCACATGGAATAGAACTACAACAAATCATGCTAATACAAAGACGACGAAACAACTATGTAATCCAAATTCCATCCCACACATCAGTTAATCTGCATAGATGGAGAACAAGCCTATGTAAACCTGAGATAGATTGTTGTTAATTTTATTCTATTTCACATAGCATAGAATATATGTAAACCACATAGACCAATATCCCCAGAATTTCCATTCCAATTAACCTCAACTATAAATTATTACGATAATTAACGAGGTTGTTCTGTATCACGTATAATAAACCTAAATTTCAAAGTTTGCAAGAATAAGAACATGAACAAGAACGGTTAATGAGCATAGATGGAGAACAAGCCTATGTAAACCTGAGATAGATTGTTGTTAATTTTATTCTATTTCACATAGCATAGAATATATGTAAACCACATAGACCAATATCCCCAGAATTTCCATTCCAATTTGCATGCAATTTCAGTAACAGATCCGCAAAATTATTTGGAAAAAGTTGTAGATTCAACAACTACAGTCACATAATTCCAACAACAAAGTAGAACTAGAATTGAAAATAAGACGAGATGAAGAGAAGAAACCGGACAACTTACCGTCTGCCAATCGATCGAATACGATAAGAGTTTCAGAAGTCTCCTCTAACAGTGGTTGTCAAACACTGCCGCTGCGGAATATACACCGGCGACTATGTGCCGATTGAAGAACCGGAGTAGAGGCAGAAGATGATTAGGACGACGAAGAAGTGAAACTTGGAGGAGAAGGATGCGGATTTTACGAGTTCACTGTTGTTGTTGGAGACGTTTAGATTTCCAGGAAGTTACTGCAATAGGTGAAAAGAAGTTGTGGAGGAAGGTAAGCCACGATTTACATTCTACATAAAACAAAAAAAATGAATTTTTTTTTCTTGCAGGTAAAGCCGGTTGATCTTGAGGACAATATAGTATTAATATAGAAAAGAAACGGCGTCTATAGATTTGTGAGGGTTTTTGGTTACTTTCCTAATTATCGTTTTTTGTCTTGCTATTGGGCCTAATTCCCCTCAATATTATTATTTACCGGTAACTTATATACAGAAAGGCTATAATGGAAGAAAAGAGAACAAATGCTATGAAATCTAATTATGTCAAATCAAATGCTATATCTTTAATTATGTCTCCAAAATTGGTTATTACACAAATTAGCCCTAAAAATAACTTGTGTAGTATCATATGCATTCGTGATGTTCTGCCTTAACAGCCACAATGTTCTTTTTAACATTTGTCTCAAATTGTTTTTTTTTTTAAAAAAGATTTTTAGAATAGATACTATTAATAAAAATTTAAAAATAAATGAGTAATTATTTGTTCTATATTTATGTAGTTTGATAGTTAATATACTTAAAAATAAGTTTAATAACATTTGTTAATAGTATAGATACCTGATCTTAATCTTCGAATAGATTTCGACAATTTACAAATAATGCAAATTTGTGATCAAATGTTATGTACAAAAATATTTTTTTATCCAAGTTAAATATTTATTAATATATCAACAAATGAATCAATAAGTCTCACTCGAATATGAAAATTAAATGAAAACATTGTACCAAACTGAAATAATAATAATAAAAAAATTTCAAGTATTATAGATATATAATAATAGTTATAAATTCATTTAATATTTGGTTTTACGGTCAACAAAAAAATATCCGCGCTTTTTAAAACTTTCTTCATATAATTGAAACATGATTTTGATCATATAACATTTTAAATCATTAAAACAAAAGATTTTTTTTATCTATTTGTAAATAAAACAACAAAATAGTATCTGCATGTCAAAAATCTAGTATTGTTTTTTAAAAATGAGTATTATTTTTAGTTTTAGGCTTAATTTACCAAAAGCCAAACCGTAGAGAGATATTTTTTGGAGTTTGGGTCCCCGGAAGTCGGCAACTCAGGTCTCGAAGCCGACCTCTCTCTCATCACGATTCCTTTCTTGAAAGTTGCAATATCGTTTGTTTCCTTCTCTGGCAGGCAAGTAGTCTCTCCTTTCTTCATTCCCACTTCATAGTTTATCCTCAAAACGAACATTTGTTGCTGCCGTAACTGGATCTGATCGGATCGAATTGGAATTCGTTCGGCATGGAGAAGCAGAAGGACGGCGTTTGCTCGGCGGAGTCTGTCGTAGATGGGAGCCTCCAAGTGTGGAGTTGTAAGAACTCCGATTCTTCTTCAGCCGATCACATCGTCGTTATGGTCCATGGGATCTTGGGAAGGTTACATATGCTTGATTCTTGTACTATAATCAGAATTGATCTTATCTGACAAGAAATATGCAAATGTAATTTCGTGGTTTTGGTAATTCAGTACGGACGATTGGAAGTTTGGAGCTGAGCAATTCGTTAAAAGGCTACCTCACAAACTCTTTGTTCACTGTAAGAAAACAAGTCTTTCTTTTGATTTTGGCTTCTTTTCCTTTTCCAGAAATAAAACTAGTTTGGTGGTCCCTTTTACCTAATCTCTCAGCTACGTTCCTATTGCTTATGATCTTGCTGTTTAAAACAGGTAGTGAGAAAAATGCATCGGCGCTTACTTTAGATGGTGTGGATGTAATGGGCGAGCGTCTTGCATCTGAGGTAACATCTACTATGTTTCTTTCACAGATAGTAGCCAAAAAAAAAAGTGACACTCTTTGCATGTCTCAGGTCGTTGAAATTATTCAAACAAGGCCAAACATTCGTAAAATCTCCTTTGTTGCTCATTCTTTGGGTGGGCTTGCTGCAAGATATGCAATTGGGAAACTGTACAAACCACCTATTCAGCAAGATTCTCCAGGAGACAGTAGTGAAGGCACAATATGTGGCCTAGAAGCTATGAACTTCATCACTGTTGCTACACCACATTTGGGTTCGATGGGTAATAGACAGGTAACTCTCGTTATCTGCCTTTATTTTTGTAAAATGATTTCTATCCTATACTATCTTAGTAAAGCTGCGTATAACCTTGCACTCTATCATACATATAAGATATAACAGACAAGCCCTTTTCTTTAACCATGTATATCTATTTGTGCGATTGAACTCCCATTTGACTTATGTTGGGATGTTATTCTCACGGCGATTTAACACAATTTGTTTTTTTTTTTTTTTCAGGTTCCGTTTCTCTTTGGTGTTTCTTCCTTTGAGAAAGTTGCAGGTCTCGTCATTCACTGGATATTTAAAAGAACGGGACGTCACCTTTTCTTGAAAGATGAAGAAGATGGAAAACCGCCTTTGCTTCGACGCATGGTCGAAGATTCCGGTGATTGTTATTTCATGTATGCCGCCAGCCTATGCTCCAATTGTCACATGTTAGTTCACATAATCATGTCTCGACGATGTTCTCACTAAAATATGTTATTCCTCTATTACAGATCTGCACTGCGCGCCTTCAAAAGGCGGGTGGTTTACTCAAACGTGGGCCATGATCGTATCCTGTATTTGTTGCTTGTAGTAATATGCTCTTTAGCATCTTCCATTACCTTTACTTTCCTTTACTAGATCTGAATAGACATCGTTGGCTGGAGGACGGCTTCTATTAGACGTGACAGTGAATTGCCTAAGGTGTTTGACTTAACTCTATTTGGTTCAGGATTTTGAAATGATGGGTCTCTAATATTTGAATGATTTTCGTGGTTTACTAGTGGGAAGATTCTCTGGACGAGAAATATCCACATATTGTTTACGAAGAACTCTGCAAGTCATGTGATGCTGAGGACGTACCAGAAGGAGAAAATCATTCAAACGACATTGAAGGCAAGCTTGCAATGTGCCTGTTTTGGTCTTTATGGGCTCTGTTGTAGAAGTTATTGGTCATTGCTCTTCTTATTTGTATTTCTGTTTTCTATGTGTTATATCTCATTAGCAGGTAAAAGAAGTTTGTGTTAAGTACAAACAATTCTTATGTGGGTCTTCCCGTCTGTAATGCTTCTGCTTTCTGATTTTCATGTTTTAATAACGTGGGACCTTTTCGATTTTGCAGAAGAAATGATCAAAGGCCTCTCCTCTGTCTCATGGGAAAAAGTTGATGTTAGCTTTCACAGTAGCAGGCAGAGATTCGCTGCTCATAGTGTTATACAGGTCTCTCACTCTCCTAAGATATAACATTTGTTCCCTCCTAAAGGGTGTTAATTGCTTCCCTTTGATGTTCATCTCTCCATTGTTGTAAACTCGAACGTTAGATTGTTGCATTCATTAAGATATGATTACCACGTACCTTCTTTTATAAACCTGAAATCTAATAGCATGTGTTGTGCCGTTTACAGGTTAAAAGCGAAACTATGCATATAGAAGGAGCAGATGTCATAGAGCATATCATCGATCATTTCCATGCCTAAATCGGTATAATTTTCATCACCCACGAGTCTGGTGGGACACTACAACTAAGGACTGATTGCAGGTAGCAAAACGTCAATTATGACCAGTTCACTTAATACATGATGTTAGCAACAAAGAAAATTTTGTTCAATTCAATTGTATCATGTATTCGTGGATGTTATGCAATGGAATTATAAAATAGCGTACTTAAAAATGAAGTTTTGTGCCTGTATATTCGTTCTACTTCAAAAATATTCCCACTGAGTTGGCGTTCTCACTTGATAATCAACGTCTTAACTCCAATCTTCAATATTCCCTAGCGGTTGTTTCCTTTGTTTTGTCGCCTTATCGCGATGTTGAAGGACGTGATGTGGATCGTTGGATTTAAGAGACCGTCGTAGGTCGGCAAACGGATCTTATCCGTCTTGCGGAGCTTTACGTTGGTTATCTTGTTAGTGAACGGAGTCCGGAGGGTGTCTGTGAGAACGCTTTCGATGAATGGGCAGAGGTTGTGACTCTGTGAATCTTTGAGTTTATATTGAGAATGGCTTACTTGAGAGAAGTGATTTCCTGGATAGTTTGCAGATCTGGGCTGTTTCCCGGTTGCGCGGAGTCATTCGGGAGTCTAGTCGGCACGATGGGCTAGTTAGTCAGATTAGGGATAGGGTTTGTGTTGAAGAGAAACCGTCGGGCCGTCGAAAGGTTTTCTCCGGCACCGTCTGAGTTTGCGATTAAGGCGGCGATAGCTGTGAGCTGCTCGTTCGTTGTTTTATGGGCTTCGCTTTGGCGTGCAAGGCGCTCCATGATGGAGTCGACGAACGTCGGAGCAAGTGGTACGGAAATGGCCGAGGTCGGTGCTATGGCATCCTCCTCTTCGCCGGAGGTTGAATCGTTACTCGGACTCATTCCTATGTTAACGCTACTTTGTCATACTCCACGGTGGACGCCAACTGTTCGAAACGAGTTTGGTTTTGTCATACTCCACGGTGGACGCCAACTGTTCGAAACGAGTTTGGTCTTATCAGTAAGACAGTGATTAGACTCGTCTGTGGGTTATTTCAAAGACGTTTTACTATTTATGAGTGAAAGAGTAAGTTTATTGATGTAAGAGTTGGTGTACAAATAAGGAAATAAGCGAGACAAAGCGTCGTTGCTCGGAGAGCTCGGACGCGAGAGTACAAGTCAGAAAAGTAAAAGGAGGTCAAAACCCTAGTCTTAGCTGCCTTTCAAGTGAGTGCTCAATTTCAGATCCCTTTCTTGTTACCCTCTCTCTTCCTTTTATAGCAGCATTTTCTTGACCTAGTGAGTTGGTCGCGTGTACGGAGGGCCTTTCGCCAGATGGGCCTCGGTCGGTCCGCTAAGGTAAGTACCTCGACTAAACGTCGTTAACTCGGTTAATCGCGGGGATTATCCATGTTAAGCTAAACTAGTCGCTAATCAACGAGGTGTTACCTCGTTGGGCCAGAGCCCGCGTGGGCCGAGCCCATTATTCAGTGAACATTATGAAGGGGAGTATTCCACCACTTACAGTAAGTCCCTCAGATCTGCTGCCGAGTTATGACTTAAGTCGGGACGGATTTTGTTGATTTGGTTCATTGAATAATAGGGTCGGTTAGTACGCTCCGATGTTCTTTCGAGCTATAATTCGTGGCGTTCGTTATGTTGTTAGATCGTCGGTCGGATGCCAACATGCCACGTTGTAGATAGCCGGGACATCGACTACCGCGAAGTTAACGATTCTCGTCACTTCTTTCGCGACGACCGGTAGTCGGATTGACCCCAAGGTCATTGACGTTTCACCGGAGAAACCAGTCAGCGGTTTTGGGATCGGCTCGACTTCCGAGAGGTCGATTCCCATTCGTGCTAGCGTGTTGCGGAAGATGACGTTAACCGTGCTTCCGGTGTCAACCAGGATTCGCGCAACCTCTAGATCGCTTATCACCAAATCGATGACAAGGGGATCGGCATGCGGTTGGTCGATTCCGCCGGTTTCAGCATCGTTGAAAGAGNACCGTGCTTCCGGTGTCAACCAGGATTCGCGCAACCTCTAGATCGCTTATCACCAAATCGATGACAAGGGGATCGGCATGCGGTTGGTCGATTCCGCCGGTTTCAGCATCGTTGAAAGAGATTACTCCTGTCGGAGAATCGTCCATCGGCACCTTCCAACTCGAGCCGGTTTCGGCTTTACGCTGGTAGGATTTTATCGGCGAGACGGTGTCGTTAAAGTATGGCGATTCGCCGATGATCATGTTGATTTTACGGTGGTTGGCGTCGTTACCCTTCTCGTCTGTTTTTCTTCCGCGTTTTTCGCCCAACTGGTTTCCCTGAGGCGGGGTTTGCGCGTTTTTGTCATTCTTCGGGACGCGGTCTGAATCATGGATGAGATCCTTGACGCTTGATATCTCGGAAAGTTCTCCCGCGACTAACTTTGCGGCCAGCCTGGGGCCGAGAACTTTACAGTTCACGGTGGAATGACCATGGGTTTGGTGGAGGTCGCAGAAAGAATTCTCATCGTAATTCGAATTTCTCGTCCACGTATTTCCCGTAGTTCGCCCTTGCTCCGAACCGGAGTTGATGGCGTAGTTATGCGCCCCTCGGAGATCCTGTCCCTCGTGATGGACGAATTTGTCGCTACGAGAACTTTTCTTTTTCTGCTTCTGCTCGGACGCGTTATCCCTTGCGGATGTTTTCGTCGGCTTATGTTTCTCAGACAAGACTTTAGTTTCCTCCTCGATGGTTATGAAGTCGGTGGCTTTATGGAGCGCGTCCTGGATCGTTCGCGGTTTCTAGAGAGTTATCCATCTGCGGAACTCCGATTTATACCAGAGCGATTTTCTCAACGCGTCGATGGCGGCTTTGTCGCTGATCCCGCTAACCCTAGCCATGACGAGTTTGAACCTACTCATGAAATTGCGGAGAGATTCGTCTTCCTCCTGCACCAAGCTCCAGAGATCGGCGTCGGAGGTCTCAGGGTTGATGAACATCGAGTACTGTTTCAGGAACTCCGAAGCCAGTCGACGGAAACTTCCGATCGAATTTCGCCTAAGTTTGGCGAACCATTCGAGTGCGGCTCCTTCTAGGTTCTCGACGAAGAGGCGGCAGTAACCTGCGTCTTTTTCGTGGTCCTTGATCTTGGCTCGTCCCATGGTGATCTGGAATGCTTGCAGGTGCGCTTTGGGATCGGTCGTCCCGTCGTAAGTTGGCACCTTAAGCTTTCCGGGATCGGGCAGTTTGATCTCAGTGATGCGAGCCGTGAAAGGCGTTTTCCGAGATTCGTATAGCAGCCGATCGATCTCGGGTGCGGCGCTGGTCGCGTGGTGAATCTGAGATTTCACCGCTTTTACTGCCGCGGCTGTTTTGGTAATATATTCGCGGAGGTCGCGAATCTCGGTCTGATTGCCAGCAGTTTTCCGACCCTGTCGGCGTTTGCTGCGGGTGATCGGAGATCGCTCTTCGGCGGTTTTTGCGTATCGCGCGAAGTCGAGTTCCCCTTCGTCTCCGGTAAAGGAACGTTCGGGAGACGACTCCGGTCGAGGACTGCGAGATTTCCTTCTCCTAGGATGAACGTCGGCGTCTTCGTCAGTCGAGTCGGCCTGGTTGCTTGTTTCCAGGTTGACCCTTTCGATGCCGTCGCCTTCGGTCTCCTGTTCGCGAGTAGGAGATTTTTCCGATTCGTTCAGCGTCGTGTCAGGGTTTTCTTTTCCGGAATCCTTTTCCGGTATGTTTCCCTGATCGATTCTGGGACGATCCGTAGGAGCGCCAAAATCGAGCCTCCTTCCGCAGATTTTGGTAGTTCCGCGGGGGCGAATTGCTTTGGTTCTCGCAGTTAGGGTTTCGAGCCGTTTTGCGAGCGAGCCAATGAGCTTTTCCTGCTCTTCCGATTTCTTGTTAAACTCGGAAAGCATCTTTTCGACGGTCTCGGCGTTAGCGTTTGTAGCGTTGGCCGCTGGCGCGTCTCTTGGTAGTGGTGTTTCAACGTTG